CTGTTGACCCTCCATCACCAACTGTTCTCCTGCTACACGTGTTAATTCCTCATCCTTCTGCTGATTCTCACCCCGACAGCTCCTAACCTGGAAGACCACCTCTCTGCACTCTGGGTACTGTTGGCCTGTTTACCTCACAGTAAAAAAGAAAAAGTGCCTTGGATTGGGCAGGGATTATATAAGACTAGCGACTTAGCTGTCGGTACAGTTGATTTCCACTGTTACAAAAGGATAACAGTACTGTCTTCACGTAATGTCACAAACTGAAAGAGGACATAACCCCTGTCCTCCAGAAACCTAATTTCTCACTACTTCTCGTCTTGTTCATGCCCGTGGCGAATCATTTACTTAGGTTTCTGTGGCTGTTTTCACACAGGAACTTTGGACAATTTCAGAAGATCGGGTCGGGATATTTTCCACAGCTGTCCTTTCTCACATGTAGCACGCAGAAGAAAATGGTCTTTTTTCAGATACGTTTGCATTCAGGGAAATACTCTGTGTGGTTTAAGCGAAGGAGCTGCCTTCATGTATGCATGCAGGAGGCACCACACATGACACAAGCTCACTAATAATGAATGCACCTGTGCTGTTTGTGCATCAGTACATTGCAACATTATATAGAATTTGTACTGAGAAGTTGACAAGGTTAACGACAGCTTAATATAAAAACTGACTGTGTGGGGTATTTCTCACATGCACTGCTGTTGGGTGATGTTGGGGGGGGCGGGGGTTCAGGGGTGCAGTACATGTATGAAAATGGGATAATATGTATCCTTTCTTCTGCTGTCAGTCACATGGAAAATATGGATGACGTCTTCGGGGTTGTCAGGTTAAGTTTTGTTTGTAGACATTAGTGTTTTCTGAGGCTTCATACACCAAACTAACAATTGTCTAAAGTGAAAAAAAAAAGCTTTTTCCTATAATCCAGTAATCCTTATTTGGAGACGTGTTCACACTTTAACCCATATTCCTCATGCATTTGTAAGGTTACCTAAGGCCCCCTCAAGAGGGATACAGCTTAAATTAAGAATGCATGACGGTAAGTGATCCGCTGGCACGTCACTTGCACTCAGCTCAGCTTCTCTAGAATGCAGTGTTTAGCCTCTAAGACCCCAACAAATGAGTTTATTTTTAGAAAATCCCACTTCTTATTCCTCTTAATGGCAATTATGGGGTGACGACACATCTATTATTTTTTTTCATGAGCTGCACTGGAAAATGCCATGTTTGAAGGGTACGTGGGCTCTGCGCAGTCGGTGCGGGCGCACTCGTTTGTTGGTGCCACTTCTCCCCTAAAGGAAAAGGTCCTTTTCTCTCTCTTGACTCTGTGGTCATATGTTTGGAGTCGTTACAATTGTGCACATCAAGCATTTATGTGTGTTGGCTCGGCTTAGAGCTTTATGAACTATTGATGGTTTCTATGTGTGGCAATTATCCGGCAATAATGGATTGTGTTCTTCCTGAAAATCAGGAAGAAGATCATGTTGTTCTTCTCATACCTCCGCCAAGGAGTTTATGGGATTTTCTTTGTGTTTTTTTTATATATTTGATTTTTGCCTGTTAATATAGACAGAATTTAACCCAACTTCAAATGATTAACATTGTTACTTTTGCCATTTTCTATTAAGACATAGGGCAAAATTGGACATTTTGCATCATATTTTCACTACAGAATATGAACTGAAAGTATTAAATTTAAAAGCTGTTGCCTTAATGTTATTAAAAAAATATCAGAAGCTAATCTGCAGCCAGCTATCCTTTTAGATCTAGGAAACGGATTCATGCATGATGTGGAATGTATTTAAAACAGTTGTCAGTGTTCTTGTTACAACTGTTAATAATTGCTATTGTTAATAATTGATTACAGTAAAAATCTGTGTTTTGCACTTTTCCTGCTGTTTTGTTAAAAACATAAGAATTAACAGAGGTGGTCCTCTGCCTCCACATGCCTCCCACAAACCAGGTTTCAGTGTTTTGTTGGTTTCATCACAGGATTTAATTAACGAGCTGGAATTTAGGTATTATTGTAGTTCAGGTGCAATCAAGTATGCTGAATTCCACAAATTTCTACAAATGTTTGGACGGTTGAACCCTTTGAAGTCCCTGCAGGATTGGCAACAAGCTTTTCTGTTCTCCCTGTGATCCAAGGATAAGTGGGATGGATGCCTTGGAACCATTTCCCTTGTTTAAATCTGTAACTGGATTAGAGGTACCCTCAGGAGAAAGGTGCCATAATAATACAACATTACTGCACAACAAGCCCTGCCTGCATTGCTCTCATAAACTGTATGCTAAACTGATGCTTTGGGTGAAAGAACTATAAGATCTCCCAGATGCGTTTGGGGTGGGGGCAAAACGCGTATCACTGCTGGACACCTGTGGCTCAGGTTTACAACTTCACAGCATACCCCCAAGGAAGGAAGAGGATACAGAGGAAAGGAAAAATATGGTTCTGCAAGTGAAAAAGCCAGAGAGCATTAACTCCTCTGTGAACTGAGGAAACAGCCAGAGTCCTTCGGGTCTTCCCTGACAGCTGCGGCAATCTGAGAACTAGAGGCTCACCTCTGACGAGAGAGGGAGAGCGCAAAGAGCAAACACAGCCATCGGACAAAGTGGGGTTAAGAGCCTGCTGCCATGTCCCATGTGTTTCATTTACAGCAGAGACACTGAACACGCAGGGACAAATTATCCATCAAGCAGTGATCCAAACTCCGCTGCTTTCAGTCCCTGCACACATTTGCACACAGGGAGAGACACGTACGCAGTTTTACAAAATGGCCCTGACCATCACCGTGTACCGTATACTGTTCCCGCCCGCGAACAAGGAAAATCCCTGAGCTATCAAAGACGATTAATGTAGTCATTTATCTCACAGCGCTGTCTGGTTAATAACAGAGTAAACGTGGGAGGATGGAGAGCAGAGTGCAGGTACATTGATGAGAAAGGTTTAACGAACTCTGCTCTAATGAGTTGAGCATGTTCTTCGGCAGCTCTGAATTGCAGGAGTGTTGTGGAAAATGCAGTCCTGAGGCTGAAACACACTCTTTGCAAGGTGCACTCACAACCTCTCTTCACTTATAGCTCCTGCCTTCACACCTAACGTGCTCTCGAGTAGTAATGTACACTGCAAGTTCAATGAAATGGAATCACGGCTTCAGATTTAGAGAAGGCATGTACAGTGTTGAGAGTATGTGTGGGCTGAATACCAGGGATAACACAATGTTTTACAATCGAGATAGACAAAAGTGTATATAAATAATAAAGATTAATATTGCAAATTCTCTATTAAAGTTGAACTATATGTTCACTGGCCACTTCACTAGTTACACTTTGCTGTTGCCAGGTTGGATCCCCTTTCGCCTCCAGGGTATAGACTAATCAAGGTGCTCTAAACGTCCTCTGAGATTTTGGTTAATATTGACAAAAACTGAGCCTCATGAGACCCGGCAAAGTTTTTTTTTCAGTCTTCGGTTGTCTAATTTTTGTGAGCCTGACTTAGCTGACAGGAGTGGCACCCATTGTGCACTTCTGCTGCTGTAGCCCATCTGCTTCAAGGTGCTCTTCTGCACCATGCTTGTAAAAAATGATTAGTAGTTACTGTTGCCCACCACCTGAAGGGGTATGGCCTTTCTCTCTGATCTCTGATATCAACGTTGCCTTTTTCGCTGGATATTTTCTCTTTCTTGGACCATTCTCTGTAAACCTTAGAGACTGTTGTGTGAGAATAGTTCAGCACATCAGCAGATTCTGCAATACTCATGCCATTAAAACCATGCCATGCTCAAAGTCACTTAAATCACCTTTCTATTCCATTCTGATGCTTGGTTTGAACTTGATCATATTTACATGCCCAAATCCAGTTGTTTGCTGCTACGTGACTGGCTGATTAGAAGTTTACGTTACTGAACACTTGAGCAGGTGCATCTAATGAAGTGACCACTCAGTGAGCATACACATTAGATTTAATAGTTGACTCAGAGCCTTTTTAGCACTTGGAAACTTGTACATTAGATGTGTTATGAAGAGAAATGTGCATGTTTTAACCTTCTGAGTTCTAAGACGTCTTAGATGGTAATCCTAACTCCTGACCTTTCTCTCAGTTAGAAAGGTTATTTCCTTTGTTCCCTGATTGCCACTAATTTGAAGAACTACTTAATAAAAAGAGAAATAGGATATTTCGAATGCCCACAGTTAGAATTAGGGCTATGCTCAAGGTTGTCACGCATAACCTCAAAGGGTTAATTCCTTGAGGTTAAAAGAGGGAAGCCAAGCGCAGGTCCTCTCCTGTTGTTGTGATTTGATTTTGGCGGTTGGTCGAGCAGATGGGACGGATGTCTGGAAGTTGGAGTGCCTTTGGTGCTCCCTCCCTCAAGTGGGTGGGTGTGTGTACGCAAAGTGCTCTCCAGTCTGTCTTTAGGAAGATAGACAGCTGGTCAAACAGGCTTACGAGAGCAGTGGGCAGTCTGGTCTCTGACTTAAGCACATTAATCTTTACTCCTCATTGGTCAACGGCTTCAAGTTCAAAACTGTTTTGTAATGTATTGATGGGTGAATATTGTGGACCAGTGACAATATGTCCTCTTTTGACTAGACAGTGGCAAAAATCATTAAGAAAGCATTATCGACGCATGCGTGCATGCTGTACCCCGTGCCCAAAGTGTTTTTACGTCTTTGTGTCGTGATTGAGGGTGATGGGGTGCACTGTGAGGGTAGACACCCCCCTCCACCCACCCCCACCCCCCCACCCCAATGTACGCAGTTATGTGGTTGTGTTGTGCAGCACGTAGGCTTGTGGAAACCGGACCGTTCTGCTGCTTCCCTCGTGGCGGGTGGCCTTGGCGGTTGGAGCCAGCAGAATGGGTACCAGGAGGGTGCAGGGGTGTTTTTGTGGCTGTGTCAGTGATAGAGAAAGATCAAGATTTAATTTCATGGCCAAACCTACTTTTTTTTCTGTGTGTTTTCTTGCCTTTGAGACATTCCTTCTGGCACATTTTATCCAGCCAAACAGACAACAAAGTTAACTCAGCATCAGGATGTCATTTATTAGCTAATGTAATACAACACCAGACACGACTGTTATATTCCGTTACCTTGCGCTGACGCAGAAAACAGAATACAACATTGTATTACACAAGAAGCACAAAGAACAAAGGGCAATATTGACTTACAAAGGTCTGATTTTTTTTTTTATTCCAAGAAATCTGCCCATTCGATCTGACATGATGTACCCTTGACTGGTGAAATGATTTACTTTTATTGCTGTCTCCTTTGGCATCTGTATCACTTCTCTTTATATATAAGCCAGCAGCTGCTGGTCAACCAGAGAGTGCTATTTTATTTGAACATTGGCCTACTGTGGGCACCAAGAATGCCTCAGAGTTATTTGAGAGCAGACGTATAATTATACCATTAGACTGACAGTGATGCTTGCTGCGAAATACTAATACTGCTGTTTTATTTTGCGTGTTCTAATCAAAGCTGATCTCACTTTCTGTTTTAGGGGCTACAAATAGTTGAGACATCAAGATTGTGCTCTCTTCTCTTTCCGTCCTCCTTTTCGTTCTCTGTGTGAAACCAACTCGTGCAGGCTTCTGGTCAAAGCACACATGTGCTTGACGTCACGCGGGCTGCTTGTGGGCTGACGTAGGTGTTCAGACTCGAGCCATATCAGAGGGGCGATTGGGCCCCAGTGTGGCTGCCTGGTAGTGCAGTCTACAATGGCTCCTGTTGAGACCTCATGTCTCATGCCCCATAACCGCAAATGATGCTTGTATGTGTGTGTGCACACGTCTGTGCTAGCTTCAGCTATCTCATGCCAGACATATCTGATGCAAGAGCGGATCAAGGGATCACCATGTCATTTCTGAGAATAGTCCGTATCCATTCACTATGGGAGAGAAAAATGTGGGTTGACGGAGCCAGATGTTACTAGATTAACAGCTGTCCACGGCCTCTATTGTCTGCCACATCATGTCCGGTGGCTGTAAGAAGACAGAAGAACAAGAAAAGAATGAAACTGTACACTGAACAGATGGACAAGTTATTCTATCATTTCAGCTCATTCTGTACAAAACATATCCAGCACATCATATCCTCTCTTCTCTCAGCTCAACTTTCCTTTAAACCAGGGGTGTCGAACTCCAGGCCTCGAGGGCCGGTGTCCTGCAGGTTTTAGATCTCACCCTGGGTCAGCACACCTGAGTCAAATGATTAGTTCATTAGCAGGCATCTGGAGAACTTCAAGACATGTTGAGGAGGTCATTTAGCCATTTGAATCAGCTGTGTTGGATCAAGGACACATCTAAAACCTGCAGGACACCGGCCCTCGAGGCCTGGAGTTCGACACCTGTGCTTTAAACTCTCTGGTGGAGATGTTCTGAGAATACAATTAAAGAGTCTCTAAACTGACAGCATCCTACTACCGAGTCTGTGTGGACCCATGTGGAATAGCAAAAGTAACTGTCTGGAGAATAGAGAACTTGTTCAGTGGGCATTATGTGTGCACCCTGAACCCGGGCAGCACCTTCACCCAAACCAAGCATAGTATTTGTACTCTATAGATGTTCTGTGTAATAGTGAGAATGCATGTGCAGCAGATTGCCTCCTACATGTACAAGTATTGTCCTGATTCTCCTGACCCAGTCCAGAGGGCATGTGAAAATGCCTGTAGACCCTAGCTCTTAGGAGACCGGCCTAAGAATTGATCATGTGTCATGGGATCTACTAGTAGATCAATTGGCTCATGGCCCACTGGGGTGCTGCCTACCAGCAATTCATCACCAGCGGTCACAACACATTTAGCCCTGCTTCACAGGCACTTGCTGACATTCAAGTACTGTGGCTAAACAGAGGGAGGAGGAGAGCAGTGTTAAGTTATGGTAGTTGGCTGGCCGAGAGCGTAATTTAACCCTTGAAGCCTCAGGTGAGCGGTGACGTTCACCTCTCAGAAACGCTTAAATGTGTGAATGTTGACTTATTTAGACACATTTTTAAAATTCACATCCGTCCACCTTCTCATTTATGATACACTTCAAAGACAAATGTAGTCTATGTGGTAGTACATGTGTAGTAATGTTTTTGTCCTTGCCATTAGGAGTAATGCTGCTGTGTCCTAAATGATAGCACAGTAGTTAAAGCAGCAGTAGAATCTCAACTGGATCCAGGCTGTTACCTTTCAGTCGAGCTGTTGTCTGTCCTTCCGCTCACATCTGGATCCAATAGGAGCGACTTCCTTCTCTGAAGGAGGGACACATATAAATAGCCAGGCAACCGTAACCACACCATGCAACACAGCCTGGATGTTAGTTCATTTGATTACTGCTGCCCTGTTTTGCACTGCCAGCTCAGATATGGGATCTTATATTCACGTATCCTTGCATGTATAAAGAGCCCAGGTCTGTCATTTCCACCTCTGACCCTCTGACGCCCTGGTCTGTGGTGTGACTGATGCATGTACACTGAATATGGAATGCACATCAACACAATTCTGTTCCCATCTGTGAAAAGTTTGAATGGAATAAGGCCAGGACTGATAGGCAAGAAGAGGATGGGTGGGCTGAAACGTGTGGGCTTAGAAGGGGGAACACTGTATTCTGGTTATAGCAGAACAACTAAATTTGCTGCTTTTATGAGATACAGGGCACAGTAACAGCTACATTACTAGTGCAAAGATTATGTAACCACGGCACGGTGTCATTTTGCAGCAGGTCTATGCATTTACGTCTGGTGTCCTCACTTTGATGTGAGATGCAGAAACGGCAGACGTGCAGCAACGACTTAAGCATATGGCTGATTCTTTGTTTTGTTTTTTGGTTTTTTTCAAATTGCATCCTAAGAATGACCTTCCTCATTGTGTCTCCGATATGTGTGTACATTCCAGTGACTTAACACATGCTTCTTTCTGTGTGGCACATGTGCATGTCTTACCACAGTCCTGGCTCAGCCCAACCCCTATCAAATTAAGGCTCATTCCAGCAAGAGGTGGGACCGTTCATCTCGTGGCCTCGACCTTTCCTTGCTCGTACCGTCTTCTGCTGGGGGCTCCAGGGGCAGCACAGGGGAGAAGCTGGGAGGAGGAGAGGGATTGTTATTGGGGTTTAATGCTTCAGCGGGAAATCTACGCCGTAGCTACGTTGTAACCGCAACCCCATCTGAAACTTTATGCTGTTACCTACGGTGTAACCTGACATGCACCTCAGGGTTTGTGTGTTGTTATTGAGTGAGCTTTAATTTGTGTGATTTCAGAAGCAGATATCGCAGAGTGGTGTCGTGAGGAAAACTGATGCCATAGGCCCAAATTTACCTTGACACACACACTTTTGTCTCATACCAACACAGGTATGTGTTGGCAGGTTGGGATGAGTTTCTCGGCCATTCAAGCTGCCCCATTTTGTTGCTCCTTTAACATAGATTGGTGTTTTCGGAGCAAATGCTATAGCAATCAATGTCCTGTTGTTTTTAACCCATGCCCTGGGAGTTTGCATGTGCGTCCGTGTGATGTGGTAAAACTGCAAAAACATGGAGGTTGTGTTCCAGGGATGGAACCTGAGATTGTCCCCGTTCCCCTCTTGCTGGCCTCTTAGGAGAAGCCACCAGCACTTGCTCCTGCCCCTTCTCCACTTCGTGCCTGCCTTCCTCTGCCAGACGCATAGCTTTAGTTTCCCTGCTAGGCTACAAGGGTATCAGGTTTGTTTTGGAGGGGAGTGGGTAAGAGGAAAGGGGAGGGTTGGGGTAGAGATGAGGAAGGCTGGCATATGTGTGGAGGAGAATTAGGTGGACAAATCGCATTGGTGTAGGTTGGTTTTTTTTATCCGAAAAAGGAGGAGGAGAAAAAGATGGGAGGGGAAAAATAGAACTAACAAGTCCCCCCTGGCCTGTTGCTGCTCCTGACCCCTTATCCATAAATTCCATGCCAGGAATTGGAGTTGTGAAGCAGCCATTTTATGAATGAGGGCTAGGGGGGAGGGAGCGGGAGACCGAGAGGAATAAAAGGAGCAAGAGAGAGTGAGAGGGGAGGCGGGTTAGGTTGTGTTTAGTATATGTGTGTGGGTGGGTGAGACGCGGCTCAGAGGCGCTTGTGGTAGAGTTAGTTATGTGTGTTTGTGTGTGTGCGCGTTAGCGACTGTTCAGGCTTCGTGTGCGTCTGCGTTGTTTTGTTCACTGTGCAGTCTGGAACAAAGGCCCAATTTGGGTTGTGCTTCCGTCTGAAGCTGCTCGCTTAGCAGCCACTGCAGATCAGTTATCAGATCGAGGAGTAACAGGCACACCTCAACATTTTGTAAACTTCGCCAGCTACAGTTAGGAGGGACATCTTGATTTTGCACTTGTTTAACCATGTGCTGTGGAAGCATGTAAACATCATTTCTGTGCTCTCCTGTTGTCTCACAGTGAAACTACCCCAGTGTTTTTTTTTTGGTTGGGTTTTGTTTTTAAGTGGATTCCCAGGGGCTCATCACACAACTTTACTATTTGCATTGTTATTTAATTAAAATCTTCCAGTAGATATAAGCACCTTTTCTCCCCTTTTTCCAGCTGAAATAGTTTTAGACAGGTGGAAGAGACGGTATACAAGCATACTGAATCATTTTTTAGTAAATCTCTTTTCTTTAGTTAATTAATTTTATTGTCTTCAAGATATCATTTGCAGAAAGTCTTTAAAATCTTCAACAAAAAAAATGTTACCCAAGAAAACAAAGCAGAGTTTGGGGATCACAGAGAGTGCATCTTCTCTTCTTCTTTGCTGTGGAAATTGACCCTTGTACCCCTTGTACAATGACGGCACAGTGATCCTTTAGTGGTGAGTTAGAGGCATCTATTGTTCTGTTATCCATTAGAGGAAAAATGACGATCCAAGGGGAGTCTTGTTTCAAGTGACGGAGCTTATTCTCTCGTTTGTGATTCCCCTATATCTGCTGTCACAGAAATATGGCTGCAGGCGAATAAACACAACTTAGGTTTAGATGGCAAGGCGAAGCCGAACCTCCACTATGTGAACTGGACCTAACTTAGTCCGATGTAGGCAGCAGTTGAGTGGTTGCTGTGTCTTCTGTGTAAATTATAGATATTTAACACATAAGAAATCAACTGAAATCGGTTTCTTGTGTTGCATAAATGAGTAATAATGTTTAAACGAACAGATTATTCCACGTGATCGAGGTCAGGCATAGTGCAATCTCTGCGTTGTCATGGCGATTCCCAGCCCCTTGCTGTCATCCATAAAGCAGTAGGTAGCAGGTGCCATTAGCCAGTCAGTCACTCAATGCTGCTCGTGCAGTGCTGTAGGTAATGAGAGCTGACACAGAATGACAGTGCAGACAGGAGGACATGCTGTCACTGCGGCTCAGGGACACGAGGACGTCCTCTGGTGTTGTTTACTCCTCCCTGTGTACATTAACGCTGCTGATCCTGCTGCTGATGGCGATGCCGCTCGCCTTTTCCTGCTTCTCTTTAACTGAGATAATCCGTTAACCATTTGAGTCACCGATAAAATAACACCGCTAACGATTACCCGTTCAAGCTTTTCAAATATAAGAGCTAATATTTTGGAATTATCCCAAATGAGTCATGTTTGGACTGTTATTAAAATCATTTGAAGACTCTGATTTACATGCGCATTACTTTTTTGTTTGTGGATGTATTCCCGCTGTGTACATTTACATAAACAATTAACAATTAATGGACACAGGCCCACCTGATTTCATGGGTGTTCAGAAATTGATGTTAGTATTGATTTAAGAACAGGGATGGATATCCGCATTTATCATTGAAAACTTTATTATTATTCCTGTTGGTAAAATTATAGGCGTGTGTGTGTACCTGTTTAGACATCTGTGTGGGGACCAAAAATCAAAAATTACTATACTTGTCAGGACCAACAGTCACTTGTGAGGACAAAAGTGCCTGTCCTCACAAGTTTGAAGGCATTTTTGAGACTCAAAGCTTGGTTTTAGTGTCAGGGTTGCAATTAGGTTAGGGAGAGGGTTAGGGTTAGGCATTTGTTTTTGATGGTTAGGGTTAGGGTAAGCGGCTAGGGAAAGCATTATGTCAATTAGATGTCCTAACTAAGATATCAAAACGAGAATGTGTGTGTGTTGGTGTGTTTAGGTTGTTCATTTTCAAATAAAAATCAATGTTTCGACTAAAACAATCTAACTATTCAGAGTAACTAACTGCAATTTGTGCCATGTATTCTTTTTCCCCCTTTAAGTGGTATAAGTTATCACGTACCGCTTGTACAGGTGTTGCCAAAGCAGGAAAAGAATAGCTATAAATAACAGTAATCACTTGCTGAGTCCCTTCTCTGACGTGCTTTGTTTACTTCCTAACTCGCCTTTTTTCCTTACAGGAACCAAACAGACAACAGAAAGGTGCTACTTACTATATGATTGCTGCCGCCTCCTTGCCAGCCTTTTCACAACCTCTTGCTGTCTGGGAGCTCAGCAGAATGCAGAAAAGAAACCCCGCAGCAGTGAGCTAGTTAGATAGCAGATAACTGCTGTGGTGCAACACACATACACACACACACACACATACACACACACAGAGGAGTCTAGTAGTAGCTCTAATGAAACCACCACAAGACAAAGCAGTGACTGGAAATTTGGCCATGGAAAAAGGCCTGGAGCCAGAGCCAGCACTTTGATGGCTTTCTTTTGAGTGGTAGTTAAAGGATATGGTCTCCTGTTTCATGTCTTTGCTCCTTCTTGCTGTGTGTATGCATTTGTGTTCGTGTGTGTGTGTAAGTGTGTGATTGATGGCTCATTGATTGAGCAACGTGCTCCCATTCCCTCTCTCAGCCAGCTATCTGTCCCCTGGCTGTATGTAGCCAGCCAGCCCAGCACCAGCTGTTCAAAAGTATGTGTGTGTGTGTGTGTGTGTGTGTGTGTCTGTGCGTACTTGTGTCACACACCAGCAGAGACCACAAGTCAATAACGTTGGAAGGAAAAGAAGTGAAGCACAAACAAGCCCACACTTCGTGTTCAGTTTCACAGCGGAAAAATGCAAGACTGACCCATCATAGCACTTCCTGCCAGAGTCTGGTTTCTGTCTGGGAGCTTTTATAATGCAAGCGTGGTCAAAAATGGTATTATGGGTAACGTAAAAAGAGCATTTACTGTGAAGCAAGAGAACTGTGACCAAGTCAAATCTGACATTTTACTCGTTCCACTGACGTCAGAACATCTGCGCTGACTGAGTA